CCCCGATGTGGAAGCAGCAACCCACTCGCTCTTTTGCCCTTCTATCCGAATTATATATTTTTTTTTAAGAGCCCTCACTATTACTTGTTAAACTCGCTCCACTGGTTTGTCGCCTCAAATGGGAAATATGCCGCAGAGACCTTTGGCGATAGAAATACAGGTGAATCGCCCGGATTTTTGTATACGTTTACTCTTGCAGGGAATCGAAACTCAGCAGTGGCTCCCAACTGATCAAAAACCCACTGAATCATTCCATCCCCATTTGGATTATCTAATCTAATTTTTTCTATCAAACTTTGTTTTTAACAAATCATGAAGATTTGATACTTTTTTCTTTTAATATAATTTCTTGATTAAATTTTTGTGATGAATTTAATCGAACAAATATAACTAATCTTTCCGAGTTTTCTTTTTCCTGGAAATTAATCTCTTAGATTATTTTTAGAAATTTTTTTCGAATATTAAAGATCAATGAGAAGTGCTTTTGAAGTAAAAAAAATTTTTTTAAATTTTACCAAAAACTGAAAACTTTTAGATTAAAAAATTGGATTTTCTGGATATTTTCTGGAAGAAACCTACTTATCGAGGATTAATCAGAAGCATCGAAGGAACTTCTCGAAAGTTAAAGTATCGAAGAAACTTACTTGTTGAAATTACTTATCGATTTAGTTGGCAACGGCCGAGTTCAGCTGTTTAATTTTTAATGAAGATGAGGATTTTTTTCCCAATAAAAATAAAATAATTTTATTTTTATCAGTTTAAAATTTCTTGAATAACAGAATTTGAGTGGATGGAACAATGATTTTGATAATAATGATTTTAAAAATGTCACCATTGTCACCATTGGTTCCATTGTTATCACCATCCATAATTATCAGTTATTCTCACTTTTTTTGCCTAATTTTTCCTATTCTTTTATTTTTTTTTCAGTTATTTTTTTAACTTTTTGCACTTCTAATTTTGCATCAAACATTTTAATAAAATAAAAGAATAGTGGATCATATGAAGATAGAAGTGCAAATCTGCCATATTCATGCGAAATTATGAATGCTTGAAATGATAATTTAGGCTATGAATTATGTACTCTCTCCTTTATAACATATTATTAGTATTAATATGGAAGCAAATCCAGTATAAATTGATTGTTTTTATTCTAGTTGATATTTAGCATACCATATTTAATTTTATTTTTAAGGTATTTTCTAGCGAAAATTTATAGATTCAACCAAAAGTGAAATGGTGAATTCTTCCAATTAATGATATGATTAATGATGCCTTTTTTCTTCTTTTAATATAAAATATGCTATTATAATGATATGATAATAAAGATAAGTGATAGTGATATTTACTCTATTATTATTATTATTTTTATTATTATTTATTATTTTTATAATTTTTTTAATTTCTAAAATTTTTTGGCTTCTGAAAAATTGATTTTTATTTTTATTTCTCTTTTTTTATTCTTTTTTTAAGATAATTCTTTATTTTATTTTTTAATTTTAATTTTTGATCTTTTAATTTTTTTTTCAAAATTTTTCAACTTATTAAATATTATAAAAAAATATTGTTAAATATTAAATATTAAAAAGGCTTTTTTTTTATTTTATTGGATCATTGAAAAAACTTAATTTAATTACAATTAATTCCTATTTGATAGATTGCAAATGTTATCTATTTATGCGAATTAGATAGTTGAATGTAAAATTCATGATTTCTGATTCGCTATGCATTATTTGCCAATATTAAAGTGAATGAATGAAGTTCAGTTGGAGAAGAAGTACCACTGATCCTCCACTCTAGTCCCACCATCGAGACTTTTTAATAAAGGTCTTTATAATCGAACCTAATCGAAACACCCCACTGAACCATACTGATGAACCAAATAACACAAGTAAGTTTTTCCCTGCATTCTGTCCAACATCCTATTCAATAATTTTCATTTTTATTCATATTTTTCTTCGAATTTCATATTTTTATTCTAATTTTTATAGAATTTGGTAATTTGTAATTTATTACGATGAATAATTTCTGTCATTGTTAGACAAAATGGTATTGAATTGGTGGCCATTTGCGACCAAAATATTCAAAAAATTATCAATTTATTTAATTAAAATAAATGTATTTTATAAAAACAAATATAATTGTTGCATATAACTATAAAAATATTAAAGAATAAAATAATAAAATAAAATATAATTTTATTATTAAAATTGTAAACAATTGTTGGAAATCACTGCAAAGTTATATTTCATTTTTGCGTAATAGCCAAAATATTTTGTTTAATTGTGCGATTTTTTTTGAGATAATTTTATCTTATTAATCAAAAATTAACGCGAAAATTTAAAATAAATTGACAGATTTTAAAGAAAAAAAGAATATTTTTACAAAAAAAACGAGAATTCCAATGTTTGATTCTTCGTTTTATTTATATATTATTTAATGAATAAAAAATATTTTTAAAAAAATCGTAAAATAAAAAGTGAAATAGAAGATAAATTTTAAAGAACTTAAGAAAATAAAGAATAAGACAAATAAAAAAAATCTTTGTGATTTTCATTAAAACTTGGCATTTATCACTATCAAAAATTTTATCACTAATTTGAGTAATTGCTTATCAATAATCAATAATCAATGAATTTTTAATAAATGGAAAACGTTTCAAAAATTTTTTTTCTTTTATATTGTTTTCGATTACTTTGTTTACTTTTTCTTTTATTTATTACTGTTTGCTTTACAAGTGTAAGTACAAATAACAAGTAATACAAATAATTTTTATATTTTCATGAGATTATAGGAAATTTTACAAGGAATTTATAATTTGCCACAAATTTCCTTCGACTTAAGACTTCATGGAACTATCGACTTACTATAAGACGAACCATCATGGAACTATCGACCTGTTAAAAGGCTAATCTCCATTCTGGGTTTATTGATCTGTTATAAAACGAATCTATGATTTTATAGTCAAATAGTCTTCTATTTCGGCTATCATTTGATTCAATTAAATTATCGAGTATAGAAAAAAATATTTTTCTAAGGAAATAAACGTAATTTGATAAAAACAGCAATAAAAGGGAAGAAATAATGGAGAAATTTTCATAGGAAAAATGATAATTGAAAAATGAAATAATGATTTAAGTTGATTATTATAAAAAGGATTTTAGTGATCAAATAATTATGCTGATAATACGTGATAAGTTAATGCTAAGTGTATTAGTTTTGCGGTTCATTATAGTCGATTGCCTTTTTAGGTTTTTAGGCAATCAGTTATCAGTTATCAGTTGTCGCCTTTCTCATACCGGAATAGAAGCATACTTTTACACTATTCTTTAAAATTAATTAATTACTCCATTCTAGTTGTAAATCGAGCGAATTTACCCATAAATGTTGAATATTTCAGAATGGCATACTGAAATAATTAAAAATTACTTGCATTCATCATTCAAGTAATAATTACTTGTATGATTATTTGCTTCCTTCTATATTAATTTATGGTACCATTGAATTTTTAATATATCAGCAATAAAAAACATCAGTAAAATTAATATTTTTTATTCTAAGAATGCTCACCATTAATCACCATTCGCTCCGCTGGCTTATCGGACTTGTAAAAATTTTAACAGCGAATCATTTGTTCCTTTTCTTCCTCAAGCGAATTGTTACGCGTCATTTAATCACTTATTTAATAATTAATAAATTGCTTTAGAAAAATTTTTATTAAATATTCTATCGAATTTTTAAAAATGATTTTATGAATGATATTCTTTTATTCTATTGTAAAAAGGATTGTTAATTTTTCTTTTTGTGTGAAGAATTTTCTCAGATATTTTTTTTTAAAAAAAGAATAAAAAAGATATAAAAAAAGATAAAAATATTAGAAATTCGATAGCTGAAATGAAATACCAAAAGGAAATATTTTCAATAAAAAATATGCTATTTTTATTTTTTTGCATAAATTCTGGAGGCTTTTTATTAAAATTTTTTCCTGATATTTTGTGATTTGATTGGATGAATCTACTTGGACCTTTGATAGGAGTATCCGAAAATCCTGGTGACTCACCTCACCTGTATTTCTCTCACCGAGGGTCTCTCAGTCCAGTGTGATAAGCCATATAAGCAAATCTAACTAATAATGGTGAGGGCAGTTGAAAAAAAAATTTGGATCTATAGGATGAATTTAGAGGATTTAGGATTACATTCGTTACATCTCTTAATCACCGATTATCACCACCAATAGTCACCAATTCATTGATCTAATTTGACTCCAAATTTCAGGCCAAGCATTTTCATTTTCTTTCTCACTTTTTATTGTTCATTTTCTATCGATTTAAATTATACGATGTCTTATTTATTCATTTTAGTTTCTAAAAAGCATTAAGTTATTTTGCGTTGGTGTGTAACTAACGTCAGTCCTAACTAACTATATAACTATAAATATTTTATAATTTTTTTTATAAAATTTTATTTTTTCCTAATGAATTCGTTTAATTCGATGGTCGCTTATGGATCTAAACGATGCCATAAAAGATCCATGAAATTATTGGATTAATATTTTTCGAATTTTAAAATTTTAACAATATTTATTTAATTCTTCCTCTTAAAATTAATCAAAATCAATGATCAATGACTACGAATCAATGATTACGAATAAAATATTTTTTTTTACTTATTAAATAATTATTGTTATTTTATATAATTATTAAATATTATTTATTAAAATAATTATTTAAAATGATTTGTTATCATTTTTATCATTCAAATGAAATATGAATATATAATTCGAATTAGGCATCCTACGCGTCCTCTGGGAATCGCTATGTGATCAAAAAAGAATTCGTAGAGACCAATGCGATGACGTCTATTGTTTTAATTATTAGCGATATTATAATTATAAAAAATTATAAAAATTCATATAAATTTATAGTTATTGAATTTTCCATTTATTTCAGATCTATTAAGAAAGAATTTTTTTCATTTCAAAAGGAGGCAAATGTTTGAGAATGTCGCGTATTTCAGTTTCAACTTCAACTTCAGAATCAGTGGAAAGTATTTTTTCAGAGAATTGTGATGATGAAAAAATTAGCATGGAAAATTTCGCTCTTCTCAAAGTGCTCGGCAAAGGAGGTTTTTTGATTTATTTCATTTCATTTTTCATTTTTTGGTTTATTATTTTTAACTCGTTTCTTAATTTATTTTAACAATAAAAGTGATATATATATATAATATTATTATTGCTATAATATTTGTAATAATTATTATAACACAATAACAATTTAATAATAATAATAATAGTAATAATAATATTAATATTAATATCAAAAAGATTTATATTCCCATATTTTTTTTTTATTTTTCAGTATTCTTTCTATTTTTTATTTTTTATAATATTTTAAAATTCCTTGGTTAACTTTTTTGATAATTTATCGAATGATTTCACATAGAATTACCAAAACTTGTTTAGATTACTAATTCCAATTCTTGCTCGTCTTCCTCTCTTAGTGTTGTGCATAGGTGCAGGATAGGTGCAGGAGAGGACAGTGGTTGACAGTGGTTGACGAGAATTTGGTTTATGCTTCAGATATTCAGGATTTAACTTGCTATTGTTTATAAAACATGCATAAACTTGGGTTTAGACGTTTTTCATTTTTATTTATATGTCGGAATTGCATAAATTGATAAAAATTGATAAAATGAGTGAAAAGTGGTTAGCGCTCACCTCACTTTCTGGTTAGCTCTTAGTTTGGTGAGGAATTTTCACTAGGAAATGGTTTTTTAGATGTATAGGTGTGTGAATATTCGCTGTCAGATTTGCTCATATTAGAGGTAGAAAAAAACTCAACCACTGATTATCAATAATCTAATAATTTGATAATTGCTCGGTTATTCTGTCCTTTTTAATATAAATATAAATATAATATAAATATAAATATAAATATAATATAAAATATTATAAGATTAGATAAATGAAAAAATTTTTAAAGTTATATTTATTTAACAATAATATTTCATTAAAAGAAATTTTCATGTAGATTAAATTAATTACTTGATGTGCTTCTAATTTCTCAGCATAAAAACAATCGAGAGAAATAAATGTTTATTTTTTTCTTTTTGCAATTTGCCAAATTCATGTTTATAGCATATGGAAAAGTGTTTTTGGCGAGGAAGGTCGGAGGTCACGACCATGGTACCGTTTACGCAATGAAAGTTTTAAGAAAAAGTCGTGTTATTTGCAAGCCAAAAACTGTTGAACATACTATGGCTGAACGACATGTTTTAGAACGCCTTAAAGGATTACCATTTTTAGTTAATCTTGTATATGCATTTCAGTCCGATTCAAAATTACATATTGTTATGGGTAAATATTTTTTTCAAGGAAAAAAATTTTTCAAAAAAATTTTTCTCAAAGATTTTTAAAGGTGCAAAAAAAAGTGTAAAGCGAAAAATTTTAAATCCAAACATCTTTAACAATAAAATCTTTCGAATTTTTTGATAGATAAATCTTCTTTTATTGTTTTATTATATTTATTAGAATTCCAAATGATTTATCTAAAATTTCCTAAATTACTGAATTTTTTTTTTATTTTAGCGAATTTTATTCGATTAAAATCGATTTAATAGAATCTAAAGAGAAGATTTTGAACGTAGGCGACCGAACGTAGGACTTAGAGAATGGAGAAAAGAGTGCTTCTGTTGTTCTTGGCACCGGAATCGGTTGAGTCGCTTGGAAACGCTTTATCCAGCGTGAACCTTCTCAGCTAATCTGTATAACTAGTAACGGTGTAAACGGTGTATTTAGAAGGAGACTTATAATTAAACCAAGTAGAGTGATGATCATTTCATTTATCACTTTTTGAAAATTTTTTAGAATTTGTTCGTGGTGGTGAGCTTTTTACTCATTTATGTAGTCGAGGATTATTCGATACAAATACGGCTAAATTTATTATTGCCGAATTAGTGGTTGCTATCGATAGTGTACATAAGGTACGTTTTTCCTAGATAAAAATCATCACTAAAAGGCATAACCAAGTAGCTGGCATTATGTGCAGGAATGTCTGCTTACTATACGGCTTACATTCTAAAAATAGAAGATTCCTTAGAGAATCATGTAGAATAATAAGATCAAGATCTGCTGGGGATTTCCTATCCAGACAAGTAGTGGCCAATCAACCAGACAGTAGACAAAAATCGAAAATCAGCAGTGGTGATAGCAGTAGTAGAAGGAAGAACAGAGAGAGAAATACTGAAGGAAAAAGAAAGTGGAATAGATGTGGAATGTAAAGACCAAAGTGGTCTCAGTAGGAGGAATACTTGGGGATGTGGTCGCTAAACTAGGAAAATAGCTCTAGCTCTAGCAGATTTCAACCCTCTGTCCAAAAGAGCACTGATAGGAACATCTAAAATACTGCAGACCCTCATCATGCTTCCATGATTCTTTTAGGAGACCAGAGGTTAAGAATTACCCATACTGCCCACGTAGATGAGAAATGAGAATGAGGATTTGTATATTAATCGCGCATTCGATTTATTGAAAATGGTACTTCATGCAATGAAAAATTAAGTCACCCTTAAGTTCGCATTGTTGCTTCGTCCTTTTGTCATTTAACAATGTTTTGAGCGAGAGAAGTGTCATTTTTAAATTTTTTTATTTGGATTTTATATTCACGAAAGGATATTTTCAGCGAGATGTGGTTTATCGTGATCTTAAACTGGAAAATATTTTATTAAGTGAAGATGGTCACATAAAATTGACTGATTTTGGTCTCAGTAAGCAATTATCAGATAATGAAGTAATATTCTTCATCAAAAACCCTTCATTTTTTATAATTATTAATGGATTCTTCTTCTAACAGCTCTCACCATTGCTGGTTAGGCTGGTACCGCTAGAAGAGTAAGACGTCTCCAAGCTTCCCGCTCCGACGCCATCGCTATTAGTTATAGAAGCGTTCTTTGTCCCCCTATACGTCCAAAATCTTTCCTGACTCTATCAGTCCAGATCTTGATTGGTCCATCTCGTTTTTGACGCCATCCATCACAATTTAGCAATTAACGAAATATGCGTCAACTCCTGGTGTACGACGGAGAACGTGCCTCAACTAAGGAAGACGACGCTCTGTGATAATATTATTAATGCGAGCGAAGGTGGATACAATCATGCACTATTTTATCTTAGCGGATCCGTAGAATGTACCTTAGACATGATTGGTCAAAGGCTAATAGCTTCTTAATATCTTCCACTCTCATTGGCTATGTTTCGCAGCCATATAGCAAGATCGAACGAATTGCAGCTATATGGACGCAGATTTCTGTCTTTATGGTGGTTTCGAGACGATTCCATAAAGATTTTTAATTCTAGCTGCCGGATTACGATTTCATCCTTTGCCTGGCCATTTGGGATTAGAGTGAATCCAAGGTATTTAAGGTCCAGCACTTCCTTAACCCGCAGTGAAGCGATAAAAATAGGTATTTTATCAGCATCTTGTGTATAAGACGAAAATACTTTCGTTTTATTTATATTGTTATTAATGGAATGGATTGTTATTAATGGATTATTAATGGATTATTATTTTAAGATTCAAAGGACGAGTTCGTATTGTGGCACGATTGAATATATGGCACCAGAAGTAATTCATCGTCCTTCAGATGGTTACGACGAAACCGTTGACTGGTGGAGTTTAGGAGTTATTGCTTTCGAATTACTTACAGGATGTTCGCCTTTTACAGTCGATGGACAATCAAATAATAGTCGAGACATTGCAAAGTAATGGAAATTACAATAGAAAAATTAGTTATTCATTATGATCTTACGAATCCTTTAATATTAATTGTTTTCAAATCGTGATTTCAAAATTTTATAAAAATCTCTTTGCTTGTTGTAAAATTATCAGTCGCAATGCATCATCGTTTTAGGAGAATATTGTCGAAGTGTGTTCCTTTTCCGAGAGATTTCGATCGACTAGCAATGGATTTTATCAGTCGTTTACTGGAAAAATCTCCGCGAAGACGTCTTGGTCGAAAGGGCGCTGAGGAGATCAAAAGGCATCCGTTCTTAGCCGATATTGATTGGGATAAATGTGAGAAGAAACGATTGGTACCACCGATTATACCAACTATACGCAACGACGTATTGTTGCCTTTTTATGGTTTCCATAATTCTTCTATTTCTTCTTCTACTCTATATCCCAAAAATATTGAGTAAAACAAGTTGTTTGTTGAAATTCATAGTCCTCTTTTTTTTTTCTTTTTAATGTATCAAGATTGCCTCGTAATCATCTTTCTCTGCATTAATAAAAGCATCACAAGAAGGACAGGAATAAGTCAGATCCGAGTGGCTGATATACCTTTATCCTGAAGTGGTTCTGTGGCAATCCGGGGTCCGCGATATTCATGATGGCGCACATGATGTCCTGGTGGTGTATGACATCGGAAGATTTGAAATTCCTTACCTTAGTTGCTATTGGAGTGAGCCAAATGAGCAGTGGTATTACTAGAAGATAATGATGCACCACAGGTTGACTGATCATTTTAAATTTTACCGTGAACTTTACTCTGGTGGTAATAAAAAATAAATAAAAATAATAGATAAATAATGATTTTTTAGATGGATGTAACGAATTTTGCTGTTGAATTCACTAATCAAGTACCACTTTATTCGCCAGCTGACCCTCCTATGAACGCTTGTAATTTATTTCGAGTTGGTTGCGCTTCTTTATTATCATAATTTAGGTATAACAGTAAACAAGGTTTGAGGTTCTTTGGGAACTTTTCATCTTAAAAATTGATTCAGGTTCTTTTTAATAAAATCTTTCTTTAAGGGATATTCGTTCGTTTCACCATCGGTAATTTTCTCGAATAATAATGTAATTGGTGAAGAATGCTTAGCCGATGATTTTCAATTACTTATGTCGACATCACCTTTCTTTTCGAAGTACAAATTGGATCGAACAGAAGAGGGATTTCTAGGTCGTGGATCTTTTTCAGTATGCAGGTAATTTTCCACATATTAAATTTGGAACTTTGGAACCAATTTAAAAATAAAAAGATAATTATGAGAATTTATGAGTGTATTAAATGTGAAGGTTAACGTAGGCTAAAAGACGTTATTCTTATTCTTTTTTTTCTTTCCGTTCTAATGGATTTCTAGAGGAATAAGGAAAGTTCGAAAGTATGATACTTCGACAAGATGGCATTATGTGGGTATATTAAGGATAGAGCCCTTGTCACCATTGCTGATTAGACTCGCTCTGCTGGCTTATCATACTAAACAAATATTCCAGGGAATCCCTTGGTGATAGAAGTGAAGGTGAGTCGCCAGCATCACCCGAATTTTTGGGCAGATTTATTCCTGCAAGGAGTAGAACTTCAGCAGTGACGCTTCGAATTGTGCAACAACTCACTGAGCCATTCTATTCCTCTCCATTAATGATGGAAATCCATATGTTTCATTAATCTCCTGAAATCTGGTTATATATCTATGTTCGGAATGATGTATTCATTTTTTTTAGATTTTATTTCACATCTTCCAAAGTCCTTTTTTCAGTAATAATGGATTTTAATTAAAGAATTTATATGAAGGAATAAAGGAATCATTATCCTTTTAGAAAATGCGAACGGCTAGAAGATGGTGCGATGTTCGCTGTAAAAATCATATCACAAAGGTTTCATGCACAAGCAACACGCGAAGCGAATATTTTAGAATTGGTCAGTGCTCATCCAAATATTGTTCGCTTAATTGATGTCGTTTCCGATAGTCTTCATATTTATTTGATATTGGAATTGCTTGAAGGTTAAATTTTTCAAAAATAGGACACTTAATTAAGATATATAGGTTTGTTGGTTCAATGGTTTTTCATTATATAGGTGGTGAATTGCTGTCGCGGATTAAGGCGATGAGCAGTTTCACCGAAGCTCAAGCTGGTGTTATTATGAAGCAGTTGGTTTCTGCCGTTTCTTATTTACATTCGAAGAATGTCGTTCACCGAGATCTAAAACCAGAGGTTCGGTTTTTTTTTAAATTACTGCTTTTGAATGGATTTATATACTTTTTATTTAAAATTATAATTATCGTTTTTTTTTAAAAGCATTCGCTATTTTACTGGTTAGATTCGCTCCACTAGCGTATTGCACTGGACAAACATGCCAGGAAGTTCCTTAGAACTATAGAACTATAAGTGAGCGATAGAACTATAAGTGAGCCAGTGAGTCGTGAGCCCGGATTTTTGGAGATTTATTCCTGCCAGGAAGAGAAAAATGAGTATCACTAATGGCACTCTGAATTGTTTAGGCCACTGAGTTATCCTACTGTCCATAGCATTTTAGTTCCTTCCTATATATTTGCTTCTGCTTAGGATAGATAGACAGTTCAGGTTCAATCCATGAATCTTTATGTTATTGAAAGTGATATGTGGAAGCTCCCTTACTTAAAAGACTGTTAAAAAAGTTGATTTTGGATTTATTCTGGACTCGATCGTAAATGAAGTTATTACCATTTAAAGGCATTCGCAAAAGTTGTAGTCATTCTTCCTTCTATTCTTCCTTCCCCTTTCTCAATCGTTTGCTCAAATTTTAAAATGCTTATGGAAATAGGCGCAAAATATCGATAGAGCATTATCAATGTAGTTGCTTTAGGATCTCCATTTCCTATGCTATTTTATATGATAATGAATATTTATCATTATTTTTATTGCAGAATATCTTATTCGAAAATAAAGATACTCAAGCGAAATTACGACTTGTTGATTTTGGATTCGCTCGTATTCTACCATCAGCCGCGGAGCATTTAACAACGCCTTGTTTCACATTACATTATGCAGCTCCAGAAGTTTTGGAAAGTGATGATCAACTACCACAGTATAATGAACAATGCGATTTGTGGAGTCTTGGAGTTATTCTGGTGCTTATTCATTTTTTTGTCAATGATTTTCAACGTTCTGAAAAGTTCCATCATCAGCCGCTACTGATTATTGATCACTGAAAATACAGCTGAAAAATATTTTGCCTATTTCTGTATCGTCATAACTCATTTCTATTTCCTAAGGCACATGTATGATTTTGCTAAATCCGTCAAGAATTAAGGCGTTGGCTAATCGCATAAATTTGCCTTCGCAGCAGACTTTTGATCTGCATCAGCGTTGGGTTAAATGGCCTCAATATCCCTAATTCCTCCATTTGTTTTTTTCACTTTTTATGGATATTTTAATTATTGAATTCGAGCCCACTCCAGGCTATCATCGCGATTGAAAATAGCAATGTAGTAAATATAAATACTTTGCTTATCAAAAAACTTTCTGTTTTTGGTTTTAGTTTACAATGCTGAGTGGCAACGTACCATTTCATGCTCGTCGAAAAGATGAATCGGCCACTGACATAATGACTCGTATCCGAAATGCACAATTCTCATTTGATGGTCCTCAGTGGCGAGAAGTTAGCACTGAGGCAAAAACTTTGATCACATGTAAGAGTCCATAGTTATTGCATTTAAGAACTGTTTTTCCTTCCTTTTTTTTTAGTTTTATAAAGTATGGAAGAAATATTAGTTAAAATGATTTAATAAAAATTCTTCGCTATAAATAAATATAAAAATTCTTCGATAAAATGGATTCTTATCAATCAAAGAATTTTAGCATTATTAACAGTGGATCCCGTAAAGCGATTATCACTAATAGAATTGCAAAATCATCCATGGTTGCTTGATGCAGCAGCACAAAATGAAACACCACTGCAAACTCCGACCACATTAATGATGTCACATACAGGTGAAATTTTTTAGATCAATTTTCATATTTTAGAACGGTGAATTCCTTTTTTTTCATCAAATAAAAGCGATTTCTTAATTTTAGAAAAACCTATTTCATTCTCAGATAGGTCCTTATGCTTGAATGTCTTGTATTCTGAAAGAACGATCTTTTTTTAAAAATTTTCATCTTTTCCTGGATGTCGATGCACAATAAAAAATACATATATAAATATATATATATATTTTTTTTTTCAGCTGAAACATTTAATGAAACAATGAACGCCTTTCTAATTGCGAACCGAGACGGATTTCATCTAATGGAGGTCACAGCTGCGCCACTTCTAGTTAAACGTCGAGGATTAAAACGTAAAAGCGGAAATGAATCAGTTGTCGAGTCGAATAAAAAGTCAACAATGATAAGATGCGAATTGGAGAGTGTTCCAGAGGCTGTTTCACCTGAAATGACAAGGCCAGATACGCTTACTTTGGGCAGCAATAGTTCTCTAATGGAATACAGGACACCGAAGCCACCAACGATAAGAGACACACGTGATTCTGATTAAACTCATCTGATGTAAATATATTTAATTTGTCTACTTCCTGTGGGATGAGATTGTCAATAGTTCCGACTAAATCAAAGTGGTTTTTACTTATTGTTATTCCAAAATCCAACATTCTGCTTTTCATGTCATAAATTAATAACATATCATCTTTTTACATCGAAGTACGTGTTTTTTTTTTGAAAAAATTCTTATTGTACCTATGCTATTCGAAAAGAATTTTGTTAATTCCATTATAATGAAGAAGCTAACAACTATCTTTGATCATTCTTGCCTAAGATATATTTTACGGATATATCTACCGGATGAATGGAGTAATAACTGCCTGAAAAGCAGAAAGGACTAAGATTTAGACTGATGCGGAGAAAGATGTAAATACGGCTCATTGATGTGATCATGGAAGATGGAAAAGTGAGTGGTTTCTTTAGTTACTTTCTGATGTGACAATGGGTGGAGTGGCTTGGAAATGCTTTGTAGGCAATGGAGCCAATTTAACGGAGCTAATCGCGTAAATTGATAAAAGAAAATGAATAAAAGATGAATGATTTTCGATTTATTCTAGATTATCACAAATTTTGCACGAATTTTTTTCTCAACATGAGTGATAAAAAGGTCAAATGTCAAACGAGGTGATCCTAGTAGAGCTAAGCGCGATAGAGGAACGAAGTATTTGGGTAGTTTTATTATATCTAATGATAAAATGATATAAGCCCATGAACCATCCGTCCTCTCTTTGGTGAATTGAAATGCCAAATAGTCGGATTCCGAATAATAATTAATTAATTTCTGGGTTTTTTTTCGCTGTTTATAGGGTTTTAACCTTAAAAGCTTTAAAATTTTTCTATTATAGAAGTATATTGCACTGTTTTCAATTAGGTTAAATAGCGATGGAATAGTTCGATTCAACGAATCATTTGACTTTTACCATAAAATAAATCTGTTGTTTAAGAGCTTTTTAAACTGAGGTTCGCTGACCAGATGGAGACTACGAACATTGCGAATCGCTAATATAAAGGCTGCCTGCCACACATAATTCATAGAATACCTCCCGGGGGAGTTACCACATTTAAGAACGTTAATAACACTCTTATCCCAAACTGCAGGACTGACTCGAAAATCTGGTCTCTTAAGCTTCGGGACGGATGGAGAAGAGAAAAAAGAGTGCAAATGGAAAAGGACGGATTTGATTTGAGGGGTTTTATTTATTTTGTTTTGCTAAAATGTCTTTCTAGCATTTTGCGTCATTGTCGCCCGAGCGTCGCCTCCCTATATGTTCCCCCACCTATATCTCCCATTTTTTACTCTCACTTTTTTTATTTACAGTCAAAAATGATCAAACAAAGAAAAAGAGTAGAAATGCAATGTTGATCATCTTAAATATGGTTTTAAATAGTCATTAACAAGCAAAATGTCTGATACCTAATCTTTTTCTTCTAGCATCATTACTATTTAGGATGGCTCCGACGTCATCGCTAGTAGTAATAGAAGTCATTCCTTTTTCCATCGTCTAAACCCATATATCACTGATCCCTATACAAAATCTTTCAAAACTCTCTCTGACTGTATCAGTACTCTTCTGTATGCTCCCAGGTCTTGATTGGCCCTCCTCGTTTTCGGCACCAACCATCATAAGGTTCGGCAAATAACGAAATATGCGTCAACTCTTGAGGTGGAAGACGAAGAATGTGCCCTAACCAGCGAGATAAGCCTAATCTGCAAAAAAGTATTCAACAATGATTTTATAAAGCTATCTGTTCTAAATGAAAAAAAAACTCTGAAGAAAGTATTCCATGCTGTAAAAAAAGTATCACATTTTCAAGCGATCAAGGATTAATTTTTGAAATAACATAAGTTAAATGACCAAATTTTAAAGAAGAAAATGAGTTATGAGTGCATCTTACAATATTTCCTTATATTTTCTTATTTATCACTAAATCGAGAAACCTTACATAATTGATGAACTGACGAAGAAAACTAATTGGTCCTTCCATTTCTTAAATAATATACCATCGTCGATATTACTTTGCGCAAAAAACAAGATTATGCCAATAGCTACCGATGGTACTCCGCTGATGGCAGATCGCCATCGTGGATTCATTTTTTGCCTTAGTGAAAATCTTTTGAGTGAAAATATAGCGCAAAGATGAGTCCATGAAATGGTTACTCACGTCGAAATTTCATTGTTTTAGAATAAAATTTTAGTAATTTTCATTGCAGATTAATAAACTGCTTTACCAGACAATAAAGCTTTGCTATTAACATAAGATTTACAAAAAAATAAAAAATTTTTGAAAATTAATAAATGAAAGTAAAGAAGAACCGATATTCCTTGTTAGAGAAAAGGAAATTTCCAAAGAAAGTATCGTGCCGATGGTGCTCAGACAATAGTAGGTTGTTATCGTGGATTCATTTAATATTGGAAAAAGTAGGTGCTAAGTGAATTTGCGGTGCTTTAGGTTATTCATCAACACTATTTGATTGCAAGAAATTTCAGTGAAAAATTGCCTGTATCCAGAAACAATGATAGATTTGGACATTTCTGTATAGAAAACTACGATAATTTACTAGATAAATATGCTGCCTGTTGCCTATTTAAATGGATTCTCTATTTTTGACTCAGTTGTAGTTTTTCAAAAAATAAGATTCGTTATGAAATAATTTGCTTCCGTTTCGAAATGACATATCTTATTCGGCAGATCTGTATGATAAGTTAATCAAATAAGTCCTGCTATTATGAGTAATAATATAAAATAATAAGTTCTTAGAAACTTCAAGAATTTATAAAAACAACAAATATAACATAGTAATATAGTTTAATAAAAAGATAAATTCATTAAGGAATTTTTTATAGCTAAATCCATTGCCAAATTAAACTTAAGTTGTCTTAATTGGTTCACTGAACAGTAGTAATTGGTAGTTTTTTTTCCCTTTTCCAAAGTCTGTGAGCAATCTCGTTTATAGGTAATCCCGCCACATTATAAAAACATCCATCGATTTTTTCAATAAAAATTGCACCTTTGCCTTGGATTCCATATGAACCAGCTCGTCCCCTTGAAATTTTCGTTCTTCATTTGTAAGTAAAATAAATCGGTAATATAAGTTTTCGACAATATAAAAGCACTTGATGATTAAGAACTTCTAGCAATGCGTCAACCATTTCTGGCTGGCTCTACTAGCCAAAAGATGCTTCCTAGTCTCCCTATTCAACACCATCCTTAATATAAGCAGATATAGCGAATTAATTGACCTTCACGTTTTGAAGACTGAAACATAGACTGGCCACCGACGATCAAGATGAATGAATACCAACTATCAAAATCTTGTTTTGCTCACATGATTATCAGTAAAGATAAAGAAAAACTGACATCGGCTCTCCCGATTGGACATATCGAGAAATAACTTCTGCTGGAATTTGACAAAATTTAACCAACGTGCGTACATGAAAAACTTCACATTCTTGTTCACCATTAATCATTGCTACGCCACTGTACACTTCATGCGTTGAATTATTCAATCTGCAATATAAATAAGATGGCAAATTTAGCAGGAAAAAGCGCACCTCAAGTAATCAGTAGCACAATAAATTTAAGGTCTCATTCGCATAAAGAATAAGAAGCTTTGAAGTTTCAAATCGTCTTTCAAGCGTATATATACTCCATGTCTGGATTTGAAGTGACTGCATTCCCTAATCATTTCACATTCGATATTTATTCTTATCAATGGAAAAAAATCGACCTAACGCTGTTTGCCTTGAATCAGAGCAAAAAAAACGACCCGATAGGTCGATACATAAAAACACAACGAATTGACATGAACCCTCCACAATCTTCACGTCAAATGAATTACTGAGACTTACGTGCTTTATCTCCAACAATTCTAGAGGAATATTTTGCAAAATAATACGAAAAATAGTCGAATATATATAACCTTAGAAGAGTTTGTTCAGCATCGGCTTTATCTTTTGGCTTCCCAATAATTTTCCCTTCATGAAATACAACTGTGTCGCATCCAATAATAAAATCATAATCGTCACAATCCTTAAAAATTAAATATATATTTTTTAAATAAAATATATATTTAAAATAAATATATATTTTTGAAATATAAATATATGTTTATATATTTACATTAAATATATATAAATTAAATATATATTTTTATGCTTCCCATTCCGAATTAAACTCATTCATTCATTCAATCGGCTATCAAAATCGAACCAAGCAAATTTTCATAGTTTCAAAATAAACTGAAATTTCCTTTAATACTGACATCACTAACGCTAAGACGCACAATCGGAATTCCACACGGTAACCAGTGCTACAAACTATGGAAGAAGTGGAAAACTTTCGGGTTCACACCACAATCCTTAATTTTCCACCTATTAATACCCTTTTATAACTATCTGCAAATCCTACAATGCAGTCGCGATATTGCTAAAACGCAGTTCACGAGGAATTATCGTTTTGGATGATTTTCCATTTTTCATAGTAAATTTTTATAAATTGGTGATGGTACTTGTCGTCTTCCAGTAAGTCACAAATTTCCTGGTTCCTTCCTAATAATCGTATGAATTTAAATTATTTACGCTGAGAATATTCTCACTGTTCCAATTTCTTCTTTTAAACAATATTGGTTTTTTTCTTCGCAAAAAAACCAAAACCAAAATAAAAACGAACCATTTGTTTGGCAACGTTTAATGCTTTATTCATAGCAGTTTGTTCAACAAATTCGTTTATAGGCAATGATTTGCTTAAATTTTCGTCGTAATTCGACACTTTTACAGTTGGTTCGATGCCATAAAAAGATTTAATTTGGTTATTTTACTAAAGAATTTAGGGAAAAAAAAAATTCATATGGGAAGCGTAGATTTTTTTTTTTAGCGAGGAAGATAATCGAAGCGCTTTGAGGGGAAAATCGCCAATCGCCAACGAGAAATCTCAAATTGGCTTCGGCGAATACGAAAGGGTCTGATAATGCTCTCAGCGTTTTTTCAAGGATCCGTCTGAACTATTAACATTCCGAAAGGATAAATTAATCATTTAAATCATTTTAATAAATGGAATATATATATTTTTAGAATTATTGGCAATATATCGAAAATAACGATTTGCTTGAGAAGTGTTAAGCGATGTTCGGAAGCGCTGGCTAATATGATTTTTAACGGAGCGATAACAGACGCCGGAAGCATCGATCGAATTTTTCGAAGTATACTTCTGCTTTCGAAATTTTTCGTTTCTTGGGGAGAACCAAAAACGCTGGAAAAGTTTGTTTGTTTTCTTCTTATTTTACCTGTAAACTTAAAATTCGTTTTTCATAGAAATTTTCGATTTGTAGTTTCATATTAAACGAAGTAGAAAGCATATTTTGGAATCGCAAAAATTTAAAAAAAACTTAAAAATTACCGCGTCTTTTTGATAAAAATGACCTAATATACTTACTCTTATCAGGGAATAGTGGCTCAGTAAATTGTTGCTCAATTGGGAGTGCTGATGCTGAGGTTCGATTCCCCGGAGGACCTGTACAAAACCTGTACAAAACCTGTAAACCTGTACAAAAATCCGGGTGACGATGGCAAGTCACCTATACTTCTATCACCAAGGGACTCCCTAGCATATTGCCCAATGCGACAGGCAAGTGGAGCGACTTTGACCAGTAATGGTGAAAACTCTTTAAAAAAAAATATACTCTTACCATTGAAAAGATCGAAGACAATGGTAATAACTTGGGAAATAGGCTTTAAAGCAGTGGCACTCCATTCATATAATGTATTTACATATATCAGAGAAAAACTCTTCCTATAATCTCGTAAAATTATCTTTTCCTTATGCCTTTTTAATCCCCTCCTTAGACATGTTGCAACCTGCTGGGAACCTTATAACACTATTCCTTCATACTCCATTCTTTTTTTAATATTCTATCAAATCTTTTTGTACTTTTTTGCGCTACTCTATTATTAATATCGCTATAAGCTGCTTACCTTAGTCTTTTAGATACTATCATAGTTTATTGATAAGTCCTTTAGTCCTTTTATGATTGACCACATCTCTAAGACCTCTTAATTTTTGAAAATCTTTTATAATCTTTATAATCTTTTATAATATAATGTTTTATAATCTTTTATAATATAATGGAAGCTGTGTTGCAGTCCTTTCATATCATCGTATTTTATGAGAAATCTTTCTAATCTTCTTTAAACATTTCCTTGACATTATCGAAGCTCTGCCTCTTTCATTATAATTCATTATAAATACCATCTTAAATATCTTTTTGCCATTTTAACCTCTCCAAACCTAATATTATTCTTACGCATCCTAATCTCATTATTTTATTGTGGTTATCACGAATTATGAAAGTAGCAGTTATTGAGGATGAGAATTCTGCTATTGCTTCTTGTTGAGTCGGTTTATGCAAGAGTAATTTCCATATGTGATATTTTCAGAATATTGGCATTTCGAAAAAATATTTTCAGTAAAGGGGCAGGTATGGAACTTATTGAACGTATTAAGCCAACAATGTATATTACAAAGGTAAAATTAAGGTTTGAAATTAAAATTAAAAGTTAATTATAAAAAATAGTTGATTTTTTTTAAAATAGTAATAGTTTATTAATCACTTATTTCTCAGCATTTCCTATTTTCTTAAAGAAATTCGTTTACATTTATTGATTAAAGAGTTTAAGCTTAGAGTTAGTTCCATAGTGTCAAGTTTATTTTTCGTTTTGAAATTTGATTTATAAATATTTAAATTACATAACTCTTCAACTCAATTGTAAATATAAGAAATTCATAAATTAAAAGTGATCAAGAAATACTAAACAATGCAAAAATACTGTGACATTTCTTTCAAACTACTTTACGGAATTGGCGAATTTGCGATTTCCATAGTCCAGTTTTTTCTATTAAATAAAAAAGAAAAAGAGATTTTTTCTTCCTTCAGGAAATCAAACAGAAAGGAATAAAGTATCTGGAAGGCTATTTTGAAAGTCCTTACGGCGCTGTTTTTCCAGAAATGATGCCAGGCAATGTTAGACGCGCCACTTGGTGTGGTTTCTTTCCAGTCGAGACAAGGAATGCACTAGTTATTCATTTAGCGGGTACTGGTGACCATTCATTTTTAAGGTTTGAAGTTAACGCTTTGGTGAAAGGCTTCTATATATTGTAAAATATTTTAAAATTGAATTTTAGACGGAAATTAGGTTTTGCAAACAGTCTTCTTAAAATGGGTATTAGTTCAATTTTACTCGAGAATCCATTTTATGGAACTCGCAAACCTTCCAATCAGTTCAGGTTTGTTAAATTTAAATTTATTTAAATAGGGAAAAAGTACTGGTCTATAGAAAAAATTACTATTAAAAATTTTTCGAAATTTCAAATCATTTTCAAAGCAAATTTTTCAGGTCTAACTTGAATAATGTGTCGGATCTTTTTGTTATGGGTGGTGCACTTATAGCAGAATGTAATTTTTTACTGAATTGGGCCAAGGAATCCGGATATTCTCCATTAGGATTATCAGGAGTATCCATGGGTGGTTATATGGCTTCATTAGCGTATACAAATTCCAGTGGTCCAGTATCATTGGTACCATGTCTTTCTTCATCTACGGCTGCTCCCGTTTTTGTTAAAGTAAGTTCATTTCTTTTATTGACTTACCTCGCATATAATATAATAATAAAACAATTTTAAATTTTTATTTTCTAGTTTTAGCTAATATTGACTAACTGAAACTAATTATTTCTGTTTTTCTGCCACAATACAGCATAAAAAATTTTAAAAATTTTATAAAAATTTAATTTTCAAAAATTTTCAAATTAATATTTTTAACTCTAAGGGCGCTTTATCTCATGCAGTTTCTTGGGATTTTTTGGATATAGAATTAAAAAATAAATCGTTTCGAAATGCTATAAAGCAAATACCTGATTGTGAATGGATAGAAAAAGCTTATGAATTGAACAAATGCACCAAGGGAATTTCTTCACATGGTGTTGCTAAACAGGTGCATTACATTTTTTCTTAACATTTTCAATTTTTTTTTATTAGTGAAAAAACAAAGAACTGGACTATTTTTAATAATTATTTAGTAATAAGTTGAAAAGACTAAAATAAAATAAAATTTAAAAAAATTAAGTATTAGAGCAAAATGTTTAAACCTCCTTTCAATTTTTTCTTCTTTTTGTTTGACCGGATCAAATATTCAGGTCTGAGCAGAATGGACGATTTTTAAGAGTGAATCGTCAACCGTCGTTTGTTCAACAAGCTGAAAAAATTTAACATTTTAACATTTTAGTTCATGTATATATTAATGGAGGAATTCACAAATATCGGAATGTATCCAAAGCCGTTCGACACATCATTGGTTAAAAATATAATCGCTGAAAAAGACGCCTACATTGTCAGGAGCAGTGAACCAACTATGCAAGATATATGGCCCGGATCTTGTGTTGAAGTAATTTTCTGGTTCTCCTACTACTACAGATGTTTCATTTATAGAATTTAAACCTTTTGGATTTTCTCTCTGCGAAAGAAAACATTTATCTTCCTCCTTTAGATTTTAAAAGGTGTCGGCCATGTCACTGCTTATCTTACCAACCATGCAATTTTCCGGCGATCAATCGTCGAAATGCTACACAGAAATGATCGCATTTATCATGGTTTTAGCTAATATTATTCGAATTAGGTATAGCGAAGCTAAATTTATCGATTTAAAAGGTAAAGGTTTGCCTTTAGCATTCTATTCTGAGAAGGAAAGAAACCATTCTCTTTTTTTGCTCAATTTTTTTTTGTTATTTTGACTATTTGTTTTTAATCCAAATATTGAGACCATTTTTACAAAATATTTCATTCATATTCAGTCTGCACATATTTCATATTCCTACAACATACATGTTTAATTTAAAAAATCCAAATGTTTTCCTTTCCCGATACCTAAAGTTTACGAGCAGTTAATGAAAATTTTGAAAAATATAATAAATATAAAAAATACAAATAATCAAATGAATCCTACCGCAGAAAAAAAAACAAATTACTATGCAAATAAGGCGAAAAAAATTTAAAGTTTAAAAAATCACCGAGGCTAAAAAATAATATAATAAAAAAAAGAATATAATATAATATAATGTAATAACATAATGTAATCGAACAACATAATACAATGTATTATAAAAAATTTAAAAAAAAAATTTTCTATTTTTTATGAATTAGTACCAAATCTTATATATTAATTTCAAAATTTTATTATATTACTGAAATTCTGCTGGGTAATGATCTGGAAATATACAAAAATATGTAAACAAAAAGCATGTAAAAAATTGGAGGTATCAGGAAATTTGAGGTAACCTTAGGGACTCCTCTATATATATATATATATATGTATATTACTTTCCATCAAATTATTAATATATTTTCAATTTCAACATATTTTTAAAAATGAAAAAATAAGAATAGTTTAAAAATTGGAAGTTTAAAGAATGGAAGAAATTTTTGAGTTTTTGTAAAATATTAAAATGAAAATTTTTGATATCCTACTGTGCGTTAAAATTAAATCAATATTAATTTAAAATATTGATTTAATTTAACGAAATATGAATAATGAAATATATTTTAACAATATATCTGAAAATCTACAAGAAATCATTTTTGAATATCTGAAAAGGATATTTCCTAAGATTTTTTCGGTGACTCTCTTCCTTTCACAGAACGCCAAGTAAACTGCTGACTTTTCAAAAATGTCCAGGCCTTCCTTTTTGCATAAATTAAAACAAAAGCGACGAAAGGCGTTATGGCTAACACCTGGAATTAGAAGAATTAATAAAAAGAAGTATAAATAAATAACATGAGAATGCAATAAAGAATCAAAAAAGGACCTTCATAGCATATAATTTACGAGTGTCATGATATGGTTCTGCGGTCCATCGAAGAAAAGTAGAGACATCTTTCGCTTGCTGACTTAAAGTAGCAGGAGTACCATCTTTGTATTCAATACCTTCATCATATAATTGCTGAGGCATTGATATAACACCACCAAGGAAGTAAGGATTATATGCCTTTCCCTCGTCCACCTAAAAACATTTTACAGTAAGTCACGAATCGAATAAAATTGATAAAACGATTTTCAAACGATTTCATATTAACACTGAAAGTATGGAAGAAGTAACTCACTGATCAGGATAAATGGTTTTGATAAGTTATGTGCCATTTTTATTACCTCAACACTAGAACCATTCAACTTTACCATCTCATCAATCGTGGTGTAATTGTTTGATATTTAATTGAATTTATCAATATTTATCAGTATTAATTTTATTGTTTTATTATTTATTATTTCCCCTTCTATCAAGTTTATCTTAGGGAAGAAAATAAATGAAAATAAAAATAAAAATAATAAAAAAGAAAATAAAGAAATGAAATTGCTGATGTTAATATAACGAACCTTTATTCCGGCTGGTGGGTCGAAATAACTAGTTAGCAAAGAAAATATATAATCATCACCACCATGCCGCGCGTAGGATATCAAGGAAAGATCCGGTGGTACTGCACCGTTATTTGCAGCAGCGGCAGCTTTAGCATTCGGATATGGATTCGGCAGACTATCATTCAATGTACCAGGTCGTTCTATAGGCATACCTTAAAGTACGAGCATAATTTTATAAGTTAATGGAAGATATATAAAAGTTTTTTATCTAATAGCACATAAAAGAATGAGCATACATCACATATGGACTCAAATGTCTTCTCTTCATACAGCATATCAACACTCACAGAAGATTACCTATATCCAGTTGAAAATGGTGTCTATAATCGCGGAATCATCGACTCTCGATCTAATAATGTGATTTTGATAGTTAGGATTTCATTAAAAAGTAAGTTAAGTGAAGACCACTCACCATTTTTGGTCTTTAATGACTAGTCGGGCCAAAGAAATTTTGTAAAGAAATCATTTTGCGATAGCACATGTGGATCATAAGACGGATTTTTGAAATATAAATTTACTCCTACTGGGAATACCCAGCGCCTCGAGCTTTGATAGCAATAACCCACTCTATTACCCACTCTTCCAGTTAGAAAAATACTGCAACAACCAATCAAAAACATTCAAAAAGATGAAGTGGAAAAATTGAATATTTCCTAGCCTTTATCATCGATATCATGGATAATTGCTTCAGCTGCTTCTGCTTTCGCTTCTTCTTCAGTCATTATCTTATCAACGAAATGCCGATATCGAATATATTTCATAGAATGACATGCAGCGCAAACCTGTTTATAAACTTCATATCCACGTCGAACCCTTAAAATTTATCTGCCGATATAAAAAAATTGATATCCTCATATAAAATCTTCGAAACATACAACAAAATAGAACGCTTTTTTAGAAAGAAAATCTGAAAATTTTTAACAGAAATATTAATTCTGAAAAAAGCAATATATATATATATACATATATATATATATGTATATAATTGATGACATTTGTTTTATCTTGCAAAAAAGCAAAACAAATGAAATAAGAGATAGTACTAACGATGAATAATCTAAGGATTTGCCAAATCCTCGGTGAGACCATGGCAGTTTGTATGGATGAACAACGTGTTCGCCAGCTTCAACTGTTATCGCATTTTCAAAAGCATAAATTAAACTGCCAGTTGCTGTAAGTAACCCTGTACTGATATATGCTGCCGACTTCTAAAATCCTTTCAACTCTCTTTCAATTTTGGTAAAAACATATAACTTTAAATTACAATAATGCAAAAATCTAATCTGAGGACAAATATTTTTGTAAATGCAAAATCAATTTCATATAATGGGTTTGCACCGAAAATCTAATGCCAAAGGTACTTTTGAGAACGACATCAAAGATAATATCAATTTTGCAACTTGATATGGTCGAATTATGAATCCTGCATGAATGCTTGTTTTAGGCAAAAAAGGGTTCCTCAAATTGACCCTCAAAGGGAAATTATGTTTAAAACTAAATATAAGCGTTTAATTAAATTATATCAATAAAAAATTGATTTGAAAAGAATTTGAAAAGCTTAAATCGCTCTTGAAAATTCCGGCAAAACGAAGATAAACGATAAAAAAAGTTATCATAAAGAAATTCCGATGAATTTTGAAAATTTTCAGGAGCAATTTCACCCAATTATATTCATAAGTTGAAGAAAAATTCGAAAACTTGGATAAATCCTTGAAAAATCCTTATCAATTATCACCCTTATGAATTATTTATTTTTCGGATTCGGACAATTTCAAAGCAATAAATAAATAAAAAATCCTTAACACATAGAGAAAAATGGAGATAACTTACAAATCTGCTAAATAAGGCAGCGTACATCGGCGGCAAAATATCTGCAAAATAGCAATATTTAAAATTTAAATTTACAACGAATAAAAAATTTAAATAAACGACGAATTATGTCAAAAAAACACAAATTTAATAAGAGAATTTTATTATTCAAATTTAAAATAATAGAAAAAAATCTCCAGAGAATGCGATATTCAGAAACAATTTTTATCTAGGAGCCCACAACTTCTGATAAGATTCACTCAGCTGATTCATTTATTATAGTAGACAAAATTTGACAGGGAAGACGACAGAAATATAGAAGAGCAGCGATTAACACTCGGAATTTTCTAAGAAGAATTATTCTTGCCGGAAATAGAACTTCAAAATAAGAGCGACAAGCATTAAACCGTGCTACTCCTTACATATAAAAATACAGAAATATTTTAAGAACTTGAATCAGCCATAAAAATGAAAAATGTACAGCGTTAAAGAAGAGACCTAGAGAAACGAAAGCAGTTCGGCCGAATTTATTGTCTTAGCTGAGGATAAGGAAACGACCTTTGCCCCTTCACGGAAGCAAAATCCAGACAGCGAAATCCGCCTGCCCCACTCTAATTTATCCAAACCAGTCAGACTAATCAATACTGCGCTTTAGCTAGAAATATCTTCTGAAAAAAGCGATTAAAGCCTAAGCGCGCGAAAAAATATTCGTTAGACTTCCTGAAAATCTTAAAAAAATAAATTCCTATAAATAAATATAAATACGAATAGAATAGAAAAACTGAAGTCAACCTAATATAAAAAACACTGAGAATCAAGAGAAAATGATAAAGAATCAATAATTTTTCGATGAGTAAACGAAATCAATCGATCGATTTAAACAATTTAAGCGATCAAAGAACATATAGGTACCATCAAAATGAAACCCGATGCAACTTTAGGTAATGCAGTAAAATATACACAACAGAAACAAGCGACAAGTTGGAAAAAAAACCGAAATTAAATCAATATTCATCAAATATTCCCAGCCGAGTTTGAATCAATCCGCGTACGCCGAATAACGATTAGCTAAAAAGCAGTTGGCCTTTTTTGTGTGGTAGTTGGTTTCTGTCTTCTTACTCTGGTGATCAATTATTTAATTGTCTCATATTCCATCGGACCATTGTGCTCTTTTCCGATGATTCTGCACAAACCGCCTAAACATAAGACTATGCCTTGGCCAAGCCTCGGACTAAGCGTTGACTTAATTCGATGGCGGTGGTTAATTTTTTATTCGTCGCCATGCAGTCGATCTTTTATTCGTCTCTTGGCTTGTGCCATTCCTGGTTGGCTCATTTCGACTAGGCTGAGATGTTGCCAAGCCTAGCGATCCAATGCCATTACTGTGGATTTTTCACCGTTTAAACCCGTATAACATCGAACTACTTGTGCTTTAAGAAAAAAGAATTCACTTTTTAGATTACTTTGTTCAATTCTTTCGTAATTTCCAAACAATAGCTTTATGAGATTGAAAGTGACATAGTTTGAGGCATTCTTCTTGCATGCAATAAATTATGTTTAAAATAGGTGAATAAACAGGAAAACTTCCACCTGGTCGCAAAGAGTACGAAGTGATTTCAGGATGACCGAGGATTCTGAGAATCCTATTAGAAATAAAGGTAAATGCAGAAGAGAGTTAAGAAAGATGCTTATCTGTCGTTAAGACTAGGCGCGATTCTGTTACATTACTGCCACTGCTTTCTGGTATCACATTACCTAGGTGTACATTCCATGAGTCCTACAAATCTACCGCAACAAATCATACGCAATAAAACATAGCGTAGAAATGGCATTGATCATCGTCTTTCTTTCATGGCCATGGCCAGCAAAGATAAGGTGAATGTACGAACCAGTGACTGCTCAGCCAGCGAATATATGGCCACATGTTCAAAAGGAAATTTAAAAGGAAGCTTCAGTACAAGCTTCTATACACATTAACTCGAACGATACAAGACTACTAAGTGTATGAGGTGAAATTGTTTATTAAAGGAAATTAACCTACATAAAGGAAAAAAAGGAAAAGGAAATTTTTCTACACATAATTGTAGAATCTGATCGAAGGAATCCGATGTGGAATCCGATTGCATCTTATAAATCGCTTCAGTAACACATACGATACTTTTGCAAAATTAGAAGAAAACTAGGAGAAACTTGGAGTGAAATTGGGATGAAATTCATTATTATTGGGACAAGGTAAAAATAAAACAATTGGCAGAATGGGATTTATTCTCAATTATAAAGCACTTAGAAGAATATTATCATAGAAAATGAGATAGAATGGCTCAGTGGATTGTTGCTCGATTGGAAGCGCCGATGCTGAGGTTCGATTCTGCGCAGGAGTAAACCTGCATAAAAATCCGGATGATGCTGGCGATTCACCTGTATCTCTATCGCCAAGGGACTCCCTGGCATATTGTTCAATGCGACAAGCCAGTGGAGCGAGTTTAACTAGCAATGGTGAGCACTCTTCAAAAAAAATCATGGAAAGTTGTAAAGAATTAGCTCCCTAATTAATAAAATTTAAAATTAGCAGCAAAACATTTAAAATTATCGTGTCAAAAGCAGTTTTCGCTTTGGCTGTTCAATAAAAAAATATTAAAAAATATATTTGTTCATTTGGTAATCAATCGAATAGTGAAACATCTCCACACAATTATGTAGAAAAGCCTTTTAGGATTTAGCCAATCGTTCATCGTTGGTACATCCGACGAATACCATCTAATCTGTCTAATCTAACGAAGAACTTTGATTCGCTGATAGGAGGGCAGTTGAAGATATGCTAAATGCTACCAAAATCGGTATCTTACGTATTATTCTCAAATTTTTACATTCTTGTGGTGGGTTTTTGATCTCATTAAAAAGCGGGTGGATGCTGAAGCAAGAATACTTTGTCAGGAACCGAGAGATAAACCTGAAGGAATAAACTTAAGAGATAAACTTCTGAGGTCATAACGTGATGAAATACATCGGGAGGAGGCAGTGAATTCAGTGGGTCGGCCTAGTTGTATGTTTATTGAATTATGCGTAGTTCCTCTCATTCTGCTTATTCGTTCTCTCATTAGATTGCCCCTCAGTGTTGATCTGCTAAGCAATTTCTCCTCATTCTTCATTCGCATTCATTTGCTTAAGTACGTAATTCCAGTTATGATTACATTATTTCTCTTTCTCCAATCTGGGATTTCGTTCATCCTTCATACGATCTCCGATATATGCCATTAGTGCTAATCGAATGCAGTGCAAATATCGCTGATAGCAGTTGAACATTAAGCAATAAATAAATAATACTGAAATAACGAGCAAAGGATGAAATAAGATCAATCGTGTTGAAAATCGAAGAAAATTTCATTAAAAATATTTGCTATATGCTAGATTTCACTATAATCAATCTTAATTGTTCTTTGTTGGGGATGGGATGGTTCAGTGAGTTGTTGCTCAATTTGGAGCGCCGATGCTGAGGTTCGATTCCCCATGGGAGTAAATCTGTACAGAAAAAATCTGGGTGATGTTGGCTGTTACTCACCTGTATTTCTATCGCCAAGACATTCTCTAGCACATTGCGAAATGCGTGGAACCAGTAGAGCGAGTTTAACCAGTAATGGTGAGGACTCTTAAAAAAAATTATTCTTTATTAGGAAGGTTATTCCCGGAAAAAGATCTTTTTTTTCGCATTTCTAACGTAATAATTATTTAATCTATAATTTTCAAAAATATTTTTAGCGTTAATCATAAAAAATAAATAAAATGAATTTTACAGACTTTTGTGAAATTAATATTAGTGAAATCTGACCAATTAAATATTTATATTTTATAAATATTATTTTATAATATTTTATATATGAAATTTTATATAATAAATATATAATAATTATAATATAATTTTATATAATAATTATAATAAATATTTTTAATGAAATTTTCTTCTCATCGATCTTATAACATTCTTTGCTCGTAACTTCGGAAATCATTTTCAACGTTCTTACTGTCGCGCCACCAAGGGACCCGAACGGGACCTCGTTGTCGCGCCCCGCCGTTGTCGCGTCCCAATGATTTCATTCCTTTGATCCTCTTTTTTGTCGTGTTTTTCATTGATTCATTTATTATTTGCTATTTGTTATTATTATCATTACTTATTTTATATATTTCTCTTTGGGCCAAGTTTGTGGGTAAAACTTGAAGAGCGCTACGTTGCACGCACTGTCTTGAAGGCGATTCGAGGGTTTTAAACAGGAAGGGTGGTGGGCGACGCAACACTGTCGCTGCCTGCCCTCCTCACCTACCCCGTTTATTTTTTATAGTTGCGCTGATGTTTGTCACTTTCGGCGGCATTTGCGGCATTTTGTTGAAAATATAATCTGACTTCAGGGAACGCTGTTTCCTACATGTATTTCTTTCTCAGTATACGATCGACAGTTTCGTAGAATATGAAATGCGCCCAAAATCTTCACCGTCCGGCGACCGCGAACCGCTGCCACTAATTACGCCAATCGAAACCACCATTTTTGCGCCATTCGAAGAGAAGTGTCGAACTTTCCCGGTAAGTTAATTGCGTTGAGATCTACCATAACTTTGAAAGCTGCGTTTTAGAGAGTAAAAGTGTTCCAATAAGTTCTCTGCTTTACGTTCGGAGTACCAATAACAGACCTGGCGGGGCTTTGTCTTTGGAGATTATCCAGCTTAGTTTATTACGTTTATGATTCGAATAGAACAGTGTTTCCACACGAAGTCTTCCTTCGTCCACTTGTTATTCTTCCTCGTTTCTCTATTTTTATTTCGTCATTGAGAGATGTTATTAGAGTTTTTCGATTTGGCATTGTCACCTCTTCTTATTGATTTTTTTTGCTCAGAGCGAATTTGCCTTTTTCTAATTTACTGAATTGCTAAACAAAACTTAATATTAGGGGCGTCGTCTCGAAGTCCCCGAGCCTCCAGCCTTAGGACTTTGGGTCCAGGGTGACTGCAAAAGACGCTGTGAGGTAAAGTCTCTGGATAAAGAGCCTAGGCAGGTGATGCTCATCCATGTGTCATACGTTTCCTATTTTCAAGTTATTGACAACTCACTGGCGGTGTTTCTCGTCGCTAATAAGGGTATTGAGCTTTAGCCATTTGGAAATTTTCAAAAAATCTCATTATGGGATATTTGCTTAAGTGCATTACGTATAATTTTTTGGCTCAGTGGATTATTGCTGCTGTTTCGGAAGTGGCTGCTGGCTTCTGCTCTCAGAAGGAGTTTAAAAACTCGTATGTTGCATCTCCAATTTTTGATGCCTCTTTCTTCGGTGCAGTTAAGCATATAGAATCAGCTATTTCGCGGATCAATAAATGTTTTTTTAGTGCCTAAAGTGGTGTTCGATAAAATTCAATAAAGGTGTTTGAGTAAAACTATTTTAATGGATGTTGGAAAATTGCGTTTAAAAGTGTTGGATGACAAAAAAATTCCGAAGTAAAGAATGAAATGTCTCCCTTAATTAATGTTTTGAATATTTCTCTCATTCCCTCTAAATATTCGTAAAAAGACATCGTCGACAAGTAAGTAATTTTCTTCTTCTGCTTTATTCCAATTTTTTTTTAGGTTGAATTCAAAGCGGTGAAAAACGAAATGGCGAGTGTGAATGTTTGGTTGTTTTATCCGAACCTTGTTGGTTATGTACGAATCCTCCTGGCTGTTTTGTCATTTCAAGCCATGGTTTATTATCCACTCCGTGCAGTGTTGTGTTATGCGTTAAGTGTTGCATTGGATGCCATCGATGGACACCTTGCCCGATTATATAACCAAAGTTTGTTTTTTTTTTTGTTTTCTGTCTCTTCAGTTAGCCCCTTACTCGTCGAATTCGAACCCAAATAATCCAAATAATTTCGAATACCTTTGGAATTTTGTGTTTTTGAAACGGTTCTCCAATTCACTTTTTTCTAGTAGTTTTTTAATTGGTAATTGGTTTTTATTCTTTTCTTTATCGACAGATATATTGAATTGAAGTGGTTTAAGAAGCGGAACATAAAATAATTTTATATAATTTCTGACTAGCAACTTTGTAAATTTTTTGAATTTCCTTTTTCGCTCAACACCAGCAATTCATTAAAAACTTATTAAATGGATTTTTATAAATTTATTATTAAATGGATTTATTTGATTCGGTAATTTGAGATGTTATAGTTAGCATTGAATCAAATCAAATAAATTCGCATAAAATTGTGAGCATTTTTTATATAAATCTATGTAAGGTTCACGATTTGGTGCGATGCTTGATCAACTCACAGATCGCTGTGGTACGATGGCATTGATTATGGCTCTTTGTCACTTCTATCCGGATTACTTGTTCCTTTTTCAGCTGTCATCTATTATAGATATTGCATCTCATTGGTTGCATTGCCACTCTGGTGATCTCACTGGAAAAGTTACTCATAAGGTTAAATAATCTTTTTTGAATCATTTTTGAAAAAGTTAAAATAAACAGCTTAATTATAATTTTTTTCATTTCTTCTCATTTTACTTATATTTTTTCCAAGAATTTATTATTGCAATATTTCTTTGGCTTTAGGCTTCCACAAATCCAGTGCTCAATCTCTATTATACGTCAAAAGAATTTCTTTTTTTCATGTGTTTTGGTAATGAAGCTTTCTATGGTCTCTTATATGTGAATCATTTTTGGTCTGGTCCGGGTATTTTCGGAATATACTTCATACCTTTGCTCGCTGCTCTTTGTTTTCCTATTGCATTCGTTAAGAGTGCAATAAGTTTAATTCATTTAGTAACTGCAGCACAGACTGTTGTAGAATTTGATATTTCGCTTATCGAAAAAGCTAAAAAATAATTTTATTTTCATCTGAAATTGTAATAGATGTCATTACGATTACTTTTTGCATTATTTTTGGATATGTTTAAGTCCTTGAAATCCGCATCATTGGAATTCAAATAATTAGTTTAAAGGTTTAATTTCTAATTATTTTCTATAAAGCTGTTTCGATGAATTCGAATTTTTTATATGGTAACGCTTTATATATTTACTGTGGAATAGTTTTGGATCTCTAGTTAAAGAAGTATTTATCATTCGGAACATGTTTTTTTTTCAGAATTTTCTGTTTTTCAATTTAAAAATTTATTGTTATTGTTTAAATGCTTAAATTATTTCTGAAGAGCTTTTTCTGCATCTGTTTATCTTGTCTTCTTCTTCTTCTAACAACTCTCACCATTATTGATTAGGCTGGCTCCGTTGGTTACAAGAGTAAGACGTAAGACGTCTTCAAGCTGCTCGGTCCGACGCCATCGCTAGTAGTAATAGAAGCCATTCCATGTCGCTGGTTTCCTTATATCTTCAAGATCTTTCCTAACTGTATCTTTCCAGGTCTTGACTGGCGCTCCTAGCTTTTGACGCCAACCATCACAGGGTAGCAAGTAACGAAATATGCGTCAACTCCTGTGGTAGAGAATGTGCCCCAACCTGCGAAGGTGATGCTCTGTCTCATCTTATCTTATTGATTAGTTTACATTCCGAATTATTTTTTAACGTTGTTATTTTTTACAATAATTTATTATTCATCTTTTTCTTTTATTATTTTTCCAGAATTTGAGAGATTGATAATATCTTAGAAGTAGTATGTGGAAAAGCTAGTATACTTCTAGTTAGGTAGTAACTTCATATCTCTTTTGTTTCTCTCGTTCAATCAATTGATTCATTATTATCAAAGGATGGTACTATAGTACTATATACTGTGGTATATTATTATAACTTATTTTATTAGGTAATCAAATAATGTGAAAAACGATAAAAAGTTATGCAATACAATAAATTGTTGTGTATTCGTTATATATAATTATTTTTTATTTTATTCATTCTCATTTTGTCGTATTTTCGTAATATTTTGTAGTCGTTTAAATAATAAATTTCGTCTTCAATCTTTTTATGAATGTACAAATTATTATAAATGAGAACGATGTGGTTCCTCTTAAATAGTTCCCACCCATTTTTGACCATTTCACGACCAAAATTAAGGGTTTCGATGTCTCTTTTTCGTTAGGGAATTACTTGCATATATGTGCAAATTTTAGTGATATTTGTAAGATCAAAGGACTGAATCGACTTAACCATTAAAATTTTAATGCCAGAGGAAGCATCAGTTCATACGATGAAATATTGTTAATGAATTGTCTCTGCTCTCGTTCTATCGGATTATGGGAAATTTCTTGTATGTACGCTTCAGTCGTTAGTAGAATTTTTACATTTGTCTAATATACAAATTAAATTTCGTGTAATCATGGTTATATTGAGCACTAAGATTCTCCTTCAATTTCAAGTGAAGTTTGCAATAAAACAAATGAGAACAGTGATTACAAACAGAAACAGAAACAGGCGATTTTCAAGACTTAATTATGCGAAACTGTTGGACGTACTGCACTCTGAGGACCGATCATAACCATCGTTGGTTGCGCATAGCCTGAGTGGACTTGGTGGCCATTGCCGTAAGCCATTCTAAATGAAATCGTTGAGGATCAGGGATGTAACCTCTAGAAACTTAATGAATATAATTCTACATCAACTCCCTTCACTAATTAGCCGATATACTAGTCGAATGAATTTAAATGTGCTGTTGGACTTAAGCCAGCGGTTAGGCAGTAGTCTGCAAGTTATCTATTTCGGATCATTATTCAATGGTAACTTCTCGAAAATACAAGAAGAATTAAATGTAACGTATTTTTTTAAGTAATAACTAACAGGTTGACTGGCGAAGTTCCATTGCTCCAAGCCTGTTGTCCAAGTTCGGCCATAACACTGCCTTCTTTCAATTTTAGACTTCCATTTGAATGACGATTGTTCATCTATAATAGTAGCTGATTAATAATCTATCATAATTTTTTAGAAACTGTTGTGAAATTTGGTCAATTAATTTTTTTCATTAATTAACTAACCGCAATAACGGCGAATGCGACAATTAATACTGCTAAAATACCAATCGCAATGCTTCCACCAATGATATATTTTGACGAGCTACTCGACGTATAACCTTCTTGAATCCTTTCGATGTAGTTCTTTGAAACAAATCCTGAGAATAATAGAAATGATACGAATGATCCAATCAGGTCAAATCAGATTAGTGTTCTTTTCAAATTTAGTCCTCCTTCTCACGAGGTAGGAATGGAAGGCCATCTCGTCGTGCTTCCGCCGTCAAAATACGACTCTAATTATAGGCTTGATTATATTTTCTATAGGGAGCCATTTGGGGATAAATGCAAAGGATAAAACTATTATAGAAGAACCTCTTTCGGGGACCGAGTCTTTCCTTCAAAAAAAATCGAACTTATTGTAAATTTTGGCAAAATCAATCGCCTAAAATGCAAGTACCATTTAGTGAAATGGACCGAGGGTCCACATCGTTTTCGCCAATTCTCGATCCTTTCGCCGTAATATGTTGTTCGAATTCAGTCGCGAGTTGTTCAAAAAATTTCAGTTCAGTTGTTGTATAAACAAAGCCGTCTACAATTACGCTTCCCTTTGAAAATCTTTCGATGATAACTTTTTGATAAATACTTGTGAATATCGCCCCAAAAATCTCGTCCAGCTGATAAATGGATAATTTATAATCGATATAATTGCTTTAAAATAATATAAATAAATGTAATTCCTTTTTTTTCGAAAAGAATTATTTATTTCGAACTCTCCTAATTCTTATAAATATCAGATTTATGGAAAACTCCATTCGTAGTAAATTCAACAGATCAACAGAATTTAATATCGTTAGTGATGGTACTTCAAAAAGGTTTCGCATTGCGGCATCACCTCGTGAAATTTAAGAATGCTTCATCCTCCTAGCCTGTGGAGCCCGCTAATCGAATATATGAAACTGTATTCTATGTAGTCACATTTATTTATGATAGTTATTGGCGTAAAAACAGAAAATATTACATCAGGTAGAAGCTGATCACGAAGTTTTCTGAATTTTCCGCTGCGTGGCTCATTGAAATCTCGTATGTATTCGATACTGGTTATTCGAAACGAGAATGGTGTTTCATAAGTATTTCCTAAAAAATTTTTTAAATAAAAATATATAAACGGAGAAAATTTATTGATCAATAGAATTATAATAATCGTAAATTTCCTAGCAAAATTTGGCTTCTGCTAAAAACTAAAAACCAAACCAGTGAAGAGATTTTAGAATTTGCGAGAACTTTTCATTTCCATAGAAAAAGAAAGAATATTTTTTATTTTGCTCAATCGCGGAAAAACATCTTAGAATTTGACCTTACTTTAACCTTTTAGAATAGAAAAATAATTGCACCAAACAGAGAAAAAAAAAGGAAATTCTATGTAAAGGAAAACCGACCGGATGCGAATGACAAGAAAAATTACCTTCAAAATTGTTTGAGAGATCAGCAATTCGATTTTCAAATGAGAAATTGCGTTTCAAATATGGATTTGACAAAGTGCTCTTAGGCTGAGGCTCTGGCTCCGGTTCGACTATTGGCACTTTTGTCATTTCAAATAATTTTCCATCTATAATTTATTATTATCGAATTATTAACGTAGCATTTATATCGTTCAATTATGAAAAGCTATAGAAATACACCAAATAAAAGTGGAAGAGGAACTAAAAAAGATATGGAAAGCGGAAAAGCCAAATTGCTGGCCGATGATGATAAGGCATGATAAGATGGCTCGAGAAGTGGCTTCATCATGCAAGAACGACATCAGAGATCTCTTTCCAGCAGAACGCACTGTGTGCTGGGAACAAGATGCTACGTAGAACTCTCAAATTCTCATCTTCCAGTAGATGCAAGTCACCTTGAAGAAAACCCACACCACTACAGGCGGTGAGAAAAGTAATTTAGGTACATATATATGTATATATATATTTCATATTACATTTATTTCTGCTTTCAATCTAAAAAGCCAGGTGAAAAAGATGTTTGTCTACTCACTTACGCATCACTTACGCATTTTTATATATTTTATTTTTATATATTTTATATATTTTTCTATTAAATTTGCTTAACGCATAATTAAATAGACAAAAATTTTCTTCCTTTAAAACCCGTCAAAAGCATACAAATCATATTTTACCAAAATTTCACCAATGCAATCGACAGTTGTATAGCGCTATCGCACTCCGCAACGAAGAAGTGGAAATTTTCATTTTTTTTGGAAATTATTTTTAAAAACTAATATTTCTCAGAAAAGATTACTATACATAATAATAATTAATATACTAAATTATAATTACTATAAATACAAATACTCTCATTTTCTAATGAATATTTCAGTTTCCAATCGTCTTTTTAAAATGTGCCTAGGCCAACGATCCAAGAAATAGCAATAAACGGCGAGCCGAATAAAATTGGTCGAATGAAATTAAAGACATAAATAGGGGCATTTCTTCATGTCTATAAGAAAGTTTGGTAATTTTTAATCGAATAATTCTTTTTAATATATAAAAATTAATTCAAATAATGCGATCGAACTTTTGATAGACCTGTTGTAATTGTGAAGCTTTCAAAGTTTTGATTAATTTCTTCGCCATTTTCGATATTTTCATTTTCTTCATCGTTTTTATCCGATGAAATTTCAGCAGATATATTTGGTAATGAAGTGGTCGGATAAGTGAAATTTTCTTCCTCTTTTATGAGATCTGTTGAAAGCAGTGAATCGTCTAAAAATAATAAATATTAATAAAAATAAAATAACAATAAAAATAATTTCCTACCGCATAGTATACATGCGTCTCAAAAGAATTTTCAACCAAAATGAAGGATTGATGAGGGACATTTATTTTATTCCTCTTTTAGTTTCATATAAATATGGAAACTATCCGTAGTATTTCAATTTGGTAAGGAAGTTTGCTAAAAAATGAGATGTACCAAAATATGAATAATTATGTAATTGTGCATAGAATTAAGTTTTCGAGTACACTATTTTATGGTGCAAAATTTGGTGCACGAAAAGACGAAAGGTATGATAAGTTTTCTTCTTGGAAGCTTCTACAGCGCAGTTTCCAAACTGAACCAAAAATGAACAAGAAATTTCGGAGAAATCAATACCTTTCTCCTCAGTTGTCTCCGTTTTGCTCTCAGTTATGAAACTGAATTCCGAATCAGTTGATGCAACTAACTGCAATTAAATTATTTTAATAGAAACGTTAGATACTAAAATTATTTTATTTTCTAATTTTTATATGTTACAAATTCATACGAACAACAAAGGAAATTAATTTGATTTTAAATTTTTATGACTATTTTCTCACTAAAATCCGGTTTTGAAATTTTTTTTTCATGTCGATGGGAAATTTTTGAAAATCAATCTATTTTTTCACCTGCATTCATTTTTTTCGTGAAAATTACCTAATATTACTCATTATGTTGAAAGGGGTCAAATTATTGACCTGAAAATCGGCTGTCGTCTTCATAACTGTACTGTCAATTCGAGTGCTTTCTTTCTGAAAAATGCCATCGTTGAGTTGAGAATTGTTTCATATTTATCAGTAAATTATTTATTAGTAAATTACTTAGTTATACGAAGATATTATCATTGGCATTTATGGTATAAAAATTGAATAAGATTTTGACATGATGACGCTGGAAAAACAATGGAATAGTTTTAGGGAATTTGAGTCTCTACAGAAGATTTCGTGAGGCGATGAATCTCAATTCAGAACGCGGATTGAGATTTCATAGCTTAAGGCTGGTGATGTATTTTCTTACACATATAACAACACAACACTTTATTATGTAAATTTTAAGATAACCGAAGTATGAGAATGCGACGAAAGCTGCTTTTCAGTTCTTTGATCGACTTCTTTTTCATGCGATTTTATCTAAATTTGAATGGGTGATAAAATTTTTTTTTAGATGATTCTTTCTTTAAAAAAGAAATGGAAACATAAGCGGAATCAAATGGATTTCGCTTTAATGATAAATTTATTCTTCTTGTGGAACACGAAATGAACCTATTTTCCCCACTCTCAACTCATTTAAATATGAAATACGAAAATCGACAAAATTAAACCCGCTGAATTAAAAAAAGAATAGAAAACATACGTTATCTGGGCTTAATTCAGCTAGTTCTTTCATTGTTTCATCCTGATGGAAAAGAAATTTATCACCAATAAAAAGATTTTCTTCAGCTATGCTATTATCACCACCATCATCATTATCATTGATTAAATCTTCATCATCATATGCAGAAGTTGTTGGTAACGTTGATAATACTTTTATTTCTATAATAAATATTTTTAATAAATTTAAGGAAAAATTTAAAGTATTTTAAATTTAAGTATTTAACGAAAATTAGGAAAATTAATAATTACTAAAATTTTTATTGATATTAATGGTAATAATTAATTTTATTAAAAATATTGATTATTGAAAAATATTGATAATAATAAAAATATTTTTATATTTAAAAAATTTTATAAAAAGCGGTCAAATTTTTTTCAAAAATCAAAAATCAAATTTCTCTTTTTTCTTGGTGGTAACTCATAAAAATTTAAAATTTACTTTTGGTTTCATAAGTTTTCAAAATTTCCTCTTCTGTCGGTTCAGTTTCCTCAAAATTTATCTCTTCAGTAGCGATATTTTCAGGAATTTTTTTAGTTTGTTCCTTATCTTCATTTAATTTCATCATTTGATTATTTATGAATGTTGTGCTCAAGGTTGTTTCTTCTTCATTTTCTTCTTCTCTTTCCTCGTTAACAGTTTTTGTTCCTAAAAAAAGTGGATGATTTTTCATTCGAATTTATGAATTTATTTTATGAATTTATTATTCAAATATTTTCTTAACCTCAATATCTCTGAAGTAAATTAAGTGAGAATAATATGGAAAGAAAATCATGAAATTTTAAAAATCGTGTCATAAAGATTTGATTTTCAGATTGCTGAAGAATAGATGAATTTGCTTTATTTCAACTTCGTTATTCGAATATTTTTAAAGAAGTCGGATGATTTCACTGGCACAATAAATATTTATATTAATCTTCAAATAAGTTTTCCCTGATTATCTTCCTAATCACAAGATTTTCTGCGTATTCCTTTTCATTCCACTTCAACAATTATCATTAGTGGTAATTTGCTAGTCATAAATGATTAACCAAATTTTCCAGAAAAGAAATAAAACCTATAAAATTAAATTTAATGGCTATACTTGGATTGGTTGCAGCATTTTCCAAAATATTAGTTGTAGTTTTAATCGCTTCAGCTTCTCTTATAGTTGATGAAGTAGCAAAAGGATCGCCAACCATTATCTGTAATTCTAGCTTTGAAATTTTATGGGCCTAGTAGAATTGATCGATGAAACCATTAAGAACTGATAGGAACTGATAGCTGATATTCATTTGATATTCATTTATTTAAAGCTATCTTGTCAATACATATAGAATAAAGCACCACATGATTTTATGAAAAACAAATCAAAAGATTGATAAAAAATTATTTTAAAATTAAAATTTAATTTACTATTAAATATTGTACCATACCGATAAGTGATAATATATTTAACAGATAACAGAAAGAGTGAATCCTCTTACAAGAAGTTGTTTGAAAGAATTAAACCTCTGGTGGAAGAGTCTCATTTATTTTATTATCGGAAGTTCTTTCGGTCTCATCTTTTATTTCATTCATGCGTACATCAGTTGTGTTTCGCGTTGTTAATAATTCTGTTGTTCTAAATTTATATATATGTACATATATCTTTATTTTGTTTTTGGTTAAGGAAATGGCTAACTTTATAAGATCTTGAATCACTCTAATCACAAATGGCTAAGCAAAAGACGAAATTGCAAAACAAGAATTTTCTTTCATTGAATTGCATTCTTCTGGTTGACGAAACCTTTATGGAGCCGTTAAGAAATTACCATGAAAACGAAAATCGGGTCTATGTAGCTATAGCTCTTACTATATGTCTGTGAGATATGGCCAATAAGGGTGGAGAATATTAAGAAGCTATCTGCTTTTGACCACTTATTTTAAGGTACATTTTATGGGTATGCCGAGTGGACAAATTCGCATATGATTGCATTCACCTTCGCTCAAATACCACCTGCACTAATATACCATCACAGAGCGTCATCTTCACTGCTTACGGCACATTCTTCGACGTTCCAGCACAGGAATTGCAGTTGCATATTTCGCTATTTGCTAAACATTGTGATAGTTGGCGTTGGCGAAAGTCAATAAAGAACTGGACTCATATGAGAAAGAACATAGTGGACCAGCGATGTACATAGATATAGATTACGCGAAGAAGAATGGCTTTTATTGTTCATTATTGTCAGTGATGGCGTTCGGCCGAGCAGCTTGGAAACTTCTTACCACTGCGAAGCCAACTTGACCAGTAATGGTGGGAGCTGTTTGAAGATTTCACTTTTTTAATTATTTACAATGCATTTAATAGGAATGTTTTTCTAAAAGTACTCACAATTTCCGGTTAGGCTTCGCTAACTTGTCAGAATTTGCTAGAGAATCACTCAGTGATAAAAGATGGACCTACCAGAAATATAACTCAAACATGGGTACTCCGAAATGAGAGCAATAATCCACTAAAGCCGTTCTATTTTGTATTAATATTATTTTGGATTAATAAACAAATTTATAATTTAAATTTAAATTTAAAGCAACAAAAAGCATTTTAAATACAATCAATCAATTGTAATAAATAAATTACGTTATAAATTTATTTTTTTCTCTAATAAAAATCTGATTTTTGTGAGAAAATTATATTGTGCAATCTAGAAATCGTGAAATATGTTTGAAAAAAATTTAATGCCATAAAAAACCAACTTGGCAGGTGTCTCTTCAAGTACCTTTGTACTCTTTGTCGGAAATTTACTATCGATATTGTCGATAGTAGTTAACAATTCACTACCAATAATTCTGCTGAAGTTATCAGCTGGTTCCTGTGATGGTAACTGTTCTCCAATTGTTATAATAGGGTTATGGGTGTCCAAAAACTCCACTTGTTCACTTGAATTCAATTCTTTAAGATCTTCTGCACTTTTTTTAGTTGATTTAAAAGTTTCTTCACCAATTTCATGCGCTGGCTTTATCCTTGGAAAATTTTGTGGAAAACCTCTTTCAAGTGGTGCTATTGTTGTAAATTCATCAGTGATATGTTTCAAAGAAGTATCATCATCAAGTTCCAAAAAATCATCGGATGCTAGTCTTAATTCAACTGCAAATAAAATCATTCTAAATTTCGATTTTTTTGTAGTTTTATTAATGAAAATGTTGCATTAAAATTTTTTCATAAGTCTATAAAATCTATAAAATTTCATAAATCTATAAAGTTTTATTGAAAAATTTAAATAATAATAGATAATAATAATTTTTTACAGAAAAATTAATCGGATATTTCAAAATATCAAAAGTTACTTACATATTAAAACTAAAAATATTGTTGAGATCTGCAATAGCCTAATTGAACTTTTCATTCTTTTTCGTTCTGAAAAATTAATATCAAATTTTTATCTTTTAACAAAATTAAAACGCATACAACGAAAGGAATTTTAATACATCGTATATAACAGATTCGCCCGAGGGGATCGTAAAGTTTTTTTTCTCTGCTTCAAATTGTTAAATAAATTAATCAAAAGTGTCGGTATTTCAATTCATTTAATTGAGCGAAAAAAAATTAGTCATTTTAAAGAAAGACAATAGAAAATTTATCAGCGATGATGGCAAAAATGATGATGAAAAATTGGATTCCGAAATTTATTACTCTTCTAACGTGATTTCGATTTGCATTTCAGCCTCAAAATGGATCAAAAAAAGATAGCCATTCTTTTTCTTTTTTTTTTACTCAAATTTCTTAATCAAAAAATTAATTAACTTTAATCAGAAATAACTCTTTTTTAAAAAATTAATTTTGGCAAATTAATTGCGGCCATTTTATGGCATTATCATTTATCTTATCATTTCGAAATTATCCACTTCAAATCATTTTATATTATCATATTTTTTTCAACATAAATTCTAATTAAAATATTAATATTAAATGAAAAGTCTCAAAATTAATTTGCATAATTTAATTACTTTCAATATTCCTCGATGAATGTTAATTGCACCTTCGCATTATTTTTTCACTTTTTTTTTCAAATAAATATAATTTATAGGTAATTTTTAAGATTGAAAATAATTTCTTAAGCAAAAATTAGTAATAAATAATAAATAAAAAATTTAATGAAAAGATTTTGATTTATAATAAAATTTTTCTGACTATTTTAATATAACGAAGCAATATAAATGACAAGAATTAGAAAAATGGTCAAGAAGAAAAAAGTTTGACGAAATGAATTTTATGCGAGTAGAAACCAAATTAGTGATAATTGCAGTTTTCATGAAATTAATTATAGAGTATCGATAGCATTTTTTGAGGTTTTTCTTTCCAACAATGTTTAATTTTTCTAAACGATGAATATTGTGTAATTAAAAAAGATAAACATTAATATTAATATTAATAATTCTTCATCAAATATTATTTTTTGACAAAATAATATTTAAGCAACAAATTTTTATATTTTATTATGCATCGAAGAAATAATTTTTGATAAAAATTAAACTGAACGGATAAAAGAAGAAAAAAATCAAAAAAAAAAAATTCCAATGAAAAGAATGCTACATAGAATCATTTAAATTTAAACAAGAAATCCTTTAAAAAGAATGGAACTTTACTAGTCTTTCCAGCATTGCCAGACTAGAGATTTGCACCAACAAAATATTTCCAGTTAATAAAATAAATTTATTTATGCTTTCGATAAGCAAAATGAGGAATTCATTTCGATCGTTCGCAAAAAATTGAAAATTTAATCAAAATTTTGTTTTCTTAAAAAATCAAAGAATATAATATATTTCAATATAAATAAAATAAATTAGTATAACATAATCAACTAGAATACATAATATAGAAAAAACATAATCGACTTAAAAATGAGAGGTCATTTTAAGGCCTTTTTTTCGAATTCAAGAAAATGGAAAAAAACAATGACTTAAAAATTATTGTTGAAAGTTTTTGATTTTAATCTCTTCGACCCACTGGCCAAATTTTTTTTTTTCTGAAAATATCGTAAATTCACATCAAAATATGCTTTTTTTCATATATAAACACCATTTTTAATAGAATGAAATAGGTTTTCGAAAATTATTAAAATAATATTTTAAGGCTTAGCCGGAGGAATTTATTTATGAACGGAGAAAAGAATAATTCCACGTTCCTTCTGCGTTTCAGTGCCTTTATTTATACTAAAAGCATAATTTATCATTTATGCAATATTCGATTATCTAAAAGCTTTTCGAATTTTTCAATCAAATCTATAATTTTTAATTTTTGCCGTAAAATAGTTTTTTGAATTCCAATTTATATTTTAAAAAGAAATTCAATTCATTTATTCATTTCATTTTGCCTTTTTTTTTTCTTCCATTCTTTTTATTCGTTTATTTATTTTTAGTCGCACAGCTATTCAAAAATTCTTTAAAAATAGGATAGTGCTTGCTGTTGTATATAAAATATCGCCATCATCTTCATCTTTTCACACGACGCCTCTTAATCAAAAGACCGATTGAGTGGACGAAACGAATGAGGAGAAACAAACCGGTTGATATATCACAATAAATCTTCTTTTGACATTGAATTTTTGTTTTTTTTTCAACTGCATCAAAGCTATGATTATTGAAAAAGTGATAATAAAATCGGCTAACAAGTTTTTGAACAATTTTTCAACGATATTGGCTAACATTTTTTTTTGAGCCAAATCTAATTCACTGATATTTTTTTTTCAACTTAATTTTCCCGATGAAATATTTTTGTTTGAATTAAATTTGAATTTAAATATTAAATTGAAATTAAATTTGAATAAAATTATAAAATAATTTGAATAAATTGAAAGAGTTCATTTATAAATTTAACGATTAAATCAGTATTTTTTTCAGTTTATCATTGATTATTTTACTTTGGAAATTAGCTGGAATTTTTTGGAAAACTTTTGATAAAAATAGAATATTGAATATTAATGAAAATAAAACAAATAAAATTTTCCTCTTTTCATGAGTAATAGTTATTAAATTGACGATAATAATAATTATTATTAATAATTATTATTCTTTTTCATAAGTAATAAATCATTTATGAAAAAAAAAATAATTATTAAATCGTCGCTTATAATTTTATTTTATTTTTTGTAAGTTTTATAAATAATGATTTTTTTTTCTAAAAGCGCTGAGCATTTTTGGTTACGCTATTCGGCTGGCTTGTTGGACAAGAGAAATTTAGCTATTTCGCTAGAGAAGTACAGTCAAAAGCACGATTTCGGATTTATGAAGGATAAATTCACTTCTGTTAGGAGTGCGAAATTTTATCAAATAATGAATTCCACTGCCATAAGCTTTATATATTTTTATATTTAACCCTTGGAATTAGTCATATAATTACTTCCATCGTTAAATGTGTAAAGATCATTGCATCTTTTATGCATTTGCGTCTGATATATAATTTTCATTGCATCTGATATAAATTTAAGTATCACCGATAGTGATAAAATGTAATAAATCGGGTGAATAAATTTGTTAATACCAGAAAGAAGAACAAAAGACTGGTTTCGAATATCGAATATTAGTTAAAATGAATCTTTTTTCGATGCTAAAGATAAGCCAGGCCAAATGCCGTAAAATTTTTGCACCAATCTGAATCTTATTTATTGAAAAATGCCAAATGCCAAATTTATAATACAAGAAAAATTTATAATATTTATAGCACAATTTAAGCAGTTAAAACATATTTTTTAAAGATTTCTTATAATTTAATAGAAATTTTTAAATGAAAATTTATTCCTACAATTCATTGCCATAAAAAAAATTGTTCTCACCAAAAATATCTGAAAAAACGCATCGAACGAAATTCGATTATGAGGCAGAAATAATAAAGGGATGAATTGTGAAAGTTATTTCAAATATCTACAACAGCTATAAATGAAATTCGTTGATGAAAAATTATTTGGAATTTTTTAATTAAAATTTTAAATTAATGAAATTTTCCTCCAAAAAAAAACGCAGTGTATATAATATTCATTTGCTTTAATCATCAGTTTCTAGAATATTTCAAAATCTATTTGATTACTATGAATTTTTGTGAGAAAAAAAATTAGTCAAGAAAAATAAGAAAATTTGACGGATTTAGAAAATAAAAGCGAAGCATATCGGATTCTTCGATGAAAAAAAGTCAGTTGAACGAACAGATCATCTACAGAAAATCAGAAGAACTGATAAAACATCATATCAATTCAACAAATAAACTTTTAAAGATGAACCAACTTGATAACGAAGGGGCCTTTCGATAATGGCTTCAATCTTGAGCCTACTGAGCGATTGGATGGTAAATGATGTAGTTGGTGCTTGTAAATGTTATATTGGTAATGGCTAAAGTGGCTATCAAAACCAGTTGTTACGTAATTTATACGATTCACGATTCCCTATTACAAGTGATTTTTTTCACCATTCAATAATAATCACCGAGAAATTGTTGAAAAATTTTTTTTTTGACTTCTATAAGCAGAAATTCGTTAATGCAAACATTAATTTAAGAAAAATGTAAAAATATTATTTTGTAATATTATTTAATTTCTACAAATCCAGTTTATAAAATAATTATTAAATTTGAGACAACTATTTTCTGCAGGTAATTCATCAACTATTGTTATCAATAAAAAATGTGAATTTTCGAAAATTTTAAAATTTTTGTGAGAATTGAATATAATAAATAAGCAACATTTATGCATCGCAATAATAATTGAAGCATAGAAATGCGTAGATTAATGCTTATCACTAATTAACATCTCTTGGATGATTTTGCAATCAACAGCAAGTAGTGCTTCTTCTATAATCAAATCTTACCAGTGATTAAGAATTGATAGGAAATAATTTGGAGCTCAAAAAAAAAATTTCTTATTTTAATAATGATAATAATAATAAAAATTGAGTTTTGGAAATTTTTACAAAAAATGAATTATCTCTCAAAACGAAAAATTCCGCGTACTAGATTATAAGTAACATGGTGGATACAAAAGAAGATTATCAAACAAGTGGCCCCCGCGCGCGAAATATTCCAATGGATCATTTTCACTATATTACCGATAAAAAATTTTTCACCATTTTCACTATTATGAATGGACCTTGAAATTTTTTTTTTGAATAAAAACCG